TGATGGTATTTGATGAGCAGTTATGTTGCAATGCCCTTTAGCGTACTGTTACCCATCTGTAACCCTAATGTATCCTTAATTTACTTACCATTACATACTAGCTACACATACAATAATACATACATATAATAATAGTACACCTTCGCAATACACCAGTTGTGTCAACGATGACGCGGCGTCACCGCGTCGTTGCCACAATCTAAAATGATCGATGATTTATTGATTAATCGATCATCGGTCGTTTTGTAAAACCGATGATCGATCATGAAATTTGGACCGATCTCCAACACTAGAAATATCTCATAAGTGCTGAATATTTCGAATAACAGGAAGCAACGTAATATAAGCTAAAGTGCACCAGGAAGGTGTTTCATAATGTCTACATGGTAATTGATGACTGCATGTGACTGTTTAACATAGATCTATGTGTACACAAATTATCCATCAAACACTGTTCTCTAACCATGCACACACAGGGTGCAATAACGTAATCATGCAGATGTAAAGGGGTGGACGCACTAGGCAATTTTTCATGCGATCGAGCCGGCCGACCGAGCCGGCCGGCTCGATCGCATGAAAAATCGCGTAGTGTATCCAGTGAGTCGCGGTCGATTTTCGAGTCGGCCGGCCGAGTCGCCAGATTCAAACATGTTTGATAATTATTTGAGTCGCGCGGCTACAATCGCGTAGTGTGCCCGGGTCTGCGATTGAGCCGGCCGATTGTACAATTCATCAGCCAATCAGAGTGCTGAAAATCGACAGAGTTGCCCGACTCAGTCGCGTAGTGTGTCCGCAAAGTCACCCGACTGAGCCGGCCGGCTCGATCGCATGAAAAATCGCGTAGTGTGTCCAAAGCTTTAGTTAGATAGGATGAGGTAACCAAGCATAGCAAGACCTTTCCCTGCAGGATTATCTTATTGCATCTAGTCATAGGTGTGCAGTATCCACCAGCACCCCCCCCCCAACATTGTACAGCAGGTTGGCTTAAATTACTCTTGAATGTAGCTGCTGCCATGTGAAGCTTCATTATCAATTGCTACTCCCCTGCATCCACACGCATGATTTGGTTTAGTATTCACACACACGTGCCCTGGATGCAACCAGCACCCTCGCTCGTGGTTCCCTGATAATGCGCGTGACAGTACTAATTTGAGTGCTTTCAAGATTAAATTAATTGTTGCGTTAATTGGTAATCCTAAATAACAATGTAGTCGCTATGATGAACGCAACTAATCAAAGCTGCGATGAACTGTTCTGTGCGTGTGCAGCTGAGTGGAAACAGGTGTTTTACTCCTGCATGGTCGACCACACCATGAAGTTCTGCTGTGTACGGTGCCACTAATGCACGAAGGGTCGTTGTCGTATCAGGTACTACAATGTACCCGAGGTAGTTTTAGGTTGTTTAGTATTATGTTTATATTTTTATATGAGGTATGTTTAGGGTTAGGGTTAGGGTACACTTCTGTAGTACAAGTCTGGTACACTTTGTGTCTACATATACGTACCTCGGGTACATATGTAGTACCTGATACGACAACGACCCCTTCAGCGCCACTAATCCAATTTGACTGTATACTGATTACAGTTAAATCCTTCAGAACAGTTAACAGTGAACACAGACACCAACTGTCTGTGCTGTGTGTTGAAAGTTACTCTAACCATTCCCAACGTGATTGAAGCCGACTATATTTAGGTTAGCTAGATTGTTATTTTGCCTCGTTGTGTCCCCCGCGACGAAGTCGGCGGGGGGGGGGATACTATGGTTTCATGTCTGTCCAGCCGCCGCCGCCGCTCGGCGCCACCGCAGACACTTTCCCTTCCGCTCTATAACTCGACCCCTAATTGACTTAGCGCTACCAAACTTGGTATACTTACACATCTTGGGGAGAAGGTGCGCAGCATACCAAAACCAGGTACACTACGATTTTATTTTGACCTGATCATATTTATCTTCCGCTCTATAACTTCGGCCCTATTGAAAACTATGCGGCACAAACTTGGTATACTTACACGCATCTTGGGGAGAAGGTGCGCAGGTACCAAAACAGGTCACTTCGCCGTTATTTGACTTTACTTGACCTTGATCAGATATAGGTTTCACTCGCTCTATAACTCGGACTCTATTGAACTAAGTGCTACAAACTTGGTATACATACACATTTGGGCGAGAAGGTGGCGAGCCATACGCAAAACCAAGTCAGGCTACCCTTTATTTGAACCTTTACATTGAACTTGATCATATTTCCCTCGCTCATGCCTATTGACCTAGGCTACCACTTGGTACACTTTACCATTTGGGAGAAGGTTACGCAGGCGTACGCCAGGTAATACAGACATTTATTTGGACCTTTAACTTGAACTTTGATCATTATTCTTTCCGGTCTATAACTGGCGACTCCTAAAATTGAGCCTAGAGGGCGCTACAGACTTGGTATGTTACAACACTTGGGAGAAGGTGTGTTGCGTACCAAAACCAGGTCACTGCGACCTTTATTTGACCTTTTGACTTGATGCATATTTCTTTTTCGGTCTATAACTCGGCCCCTAATGACCTAGGGACAAACTTGGTATAACTTACATTCTTGGGAGTAGGTGTGTCGCGTACCGAAACCAGGTCACTGCAACCTTTGCAGACATTAACCTTGACCTTGACCTTCATCATATTTCCCTTCCGCTCTATAACTCGGCCCCTAATTGACCTAGCGCGAGGAAACTTTGTATATATTTACACATCTTGGGGAGAAGGTGTGTCGCATACCAAAACCCCTAGAAGGCAACCAATTTTAACATACTTGCACATCTCAGGCAGATGAGTTGTGTAACAAACCTTTGTCTTTGTGACTTATTTAACTTTACCTACTTTCTACGTCCTTATACAGAGATATTTCATTCATACTAGATCACGGGGGATACATGTAGTTGGCGACAACTGCCCTTTCTAGTTATTTATATGTGATTGCAGGGTTAGAAACTGAATTTTTTGCCAGGCAGCAAGTTTGCAGCCCAAGAATAAATTAGACCAGGCAGCAAACCTACTCACCAGACAGAAATTTGAGAAGTTCTATTGCTTCTGTCTATGCGGAAGCTGGTTTAGCCTCCTAGTCCTGTTCTGCTGAGCCAACCATCTGTGGTGAGCTTGTTCTGGGATGGATCCCAGGAATTAGTGACACGACCAGATAATTCTGCCCACATCAGGATTTCCAATAGGCAGAGAGCCTATACCTCCTGTGACCTGTCTGTCTTCATCTGCTTCATGATAGACACATCTTTTACAGAGCAGGGGCCCGTTGTCAGAAACAAAATTAGTCTTAACATTAGTCGTAACATTAAAAATTTCTCCTAGACCGCCGACATCACTTTGTTCCGTATTGTTATGAGGAAATCGATTTTTCATTCTCGTAACTTCGCAGCGTTTCTGTCATCGGTCTAAGAGAAAAAGTTTATGTTAAGACTAATGTTAAGACCAATTTTGTTTCTGAGAACGGGCCCCAGGTGTTTGATAAAGGGGTAGATAAGCTCGGTAAGTTTGTTGATGTTTGTGAATTCACCCCTGCCTTGATCACGGATGAAGATGCTCTTCCAGTAGTCACTGGGTGAGTGCCTCCATATCGTTGTTGCCACGTATCAGAAATTTTAGCGGTATCCAGTCAGTATATCTAGACAGCTTGCGGATCCACTAGATGATTGGCATGATCATGGAGCTAAGGAAGTGTGCTCCGTCTTTGAGAAAGGTGCCGAATTCATTTCTGTCCTAAGCAGCTAGTGCGTTTCTCTCTTGCTGATCAATGCAAATTACATGATCCATGGGTAATTTTTTTTAGCAGCTTTACATATAACATCTCCAACTACATTTCGATGTTCTTTTCGTTTCTTCTGTCAATTATTTCTAGCAAACTGTTGGTTATTTGTGTCTTGTCCCTGTTTTTAAAAAGCACATCAGCATCAATCTTATCAAGAGCCCATTAACCCCAGAGCGTACAACGCTGAAATCGGAAAACCATGGTGTCGTTTCAGCAAAATTAATAAAGTTTTATAATGGGGGGTTAATGGGCTCTTGATCTTATTCGTCAGGGTTTACCCTGTGTAGGATGGGATGACAGGATCAACTTTCTAATGGAAGTTATCTATAATAATGCCGTCAACAGTCAGGAAAGATGTCACACTCTCCAGACCTTTGACGATGCATCTAGATTTTCTTGTACGTGTGCGTTTTCACGTCCAGGGCTGGGTTCAGATTCGCGTGGCTACAGGCTAAAGCTGCCACACATGAATATCTGTCAATAATTTGCTCCTAAATATGTCTATATTGTTTCGTATCTTGATTAGAACTTGGCCGACTTTTTCAACAGAAATTGCTTGTAACTTTAGTATGTTTAGTTTAGGTAATTAGGAATTTCTTGGCAGCACGTATTTGCTGCCAACGTTAACAGCATGCAGCAAGCTGACCCTCGTAAACCTTGTAAGTTGCTGTAACTGTTTTGCTCGTGTGAGCACTAGTGGCAAACACACGTGTGTATGTCTATAGGGCAGAAGCAGGCCGCCAGAGAAAAGCGAATTGACGGTCTTGTTCGGCCTGATTCTCTCGCATGTTCCGTACAAGTATATATATATATATGAATACGAGAGCAGCAGAACGTGTGTGCACATGCAGCTCATGGATGCTTACCTCAGCAGTCTGGCTAGCCATCGCTAAACCCGAGCAGCTGCAGCAGCAGTAGTATTAAGGGCCGGACACACTAGGCGATTTAATCAGGCGAATTTATCGCCCGATAATATCAAAACGTTTTGATCTATGCGATTAAATCGGCGACTAAATCGGGCGACTAAATCGGCGGCGACTGGACACACTAGGCAATTTCACCGGCAATTTAGTCGCCCGATTTAATCGCCTAGTGTGTCCGGCCCTTTAGCAGTAGCAGCAGCAACATCAGTAGTATTATCAGTAGCAACCGCAGCAGTAGTAGCAGGAGCAGTAGCAGTAGTAGTAGCAGCAGCAGCAGCAGTAGCAGTAGTAGCAGCAGTAGCAGTAGCAGCAGCAACAGTTCAGCAGCAGCAATAACAACGACAGCAGTGGCTGACTGCTGTCTGGCAAGGCTGGCAGGCTGACAGGCTAGAAAGCACGGCTCACAGTTCCTTATACAGATAGAGCATGATTAATAGCATCAGCTGTGGAGAAACTGAGATGGGCTGCTGCATGTGTTATCCTGCAAAAGCTCCAGTAGCTATGTTGGTGGGTATGCGGGTAGCACATGCAGGGGTTAGAGGTCGGGAAAGGTAGGCCCCATCCCTGCTTTAAACTAACACGCCTGTGTGTGTAACAGTGTGTGTAACAGTGTGTGTGTGTGTGTGTGTGTGTGCGGGCGGGCGTGCGTGCATCGTGCGCGTGCGCACGCGTGTGTGTGTGTGTGTGTGTGTGTGTGTGTGTGTGTGTGTGTGTGTGTGTGTGTGTGTGGTGAGTGCCAGTGGAAACGAGAAATTCTCAAGAATCTGGCATTGGTACATGCCAGTGTTGGTTCATACCACAGGCACTTGGAGCGTCTCAATAAAAAAAAGGTAAATAAACACGAAATGTATTTACTACCAAAGTCTTTATGTTTCTTTACTCCATTTCGCCTATTATTGCCGATAACTTCCTGTAAATGCCGTTCAAATGCTCCTCTGCAACACACGACAATACCGCACGCACTCCGCTGTGCACAAACAACACATATAATATAGTGTATAATATATAGTTATCGACAATAATAAGCGAAAGAGAGTAGAGAAACATTAAGCCTTTGGTAGTAAATACATTTCGTGTGTATTTACCATTATTTTTAGCTCATCTGACGTAGTCAGATGCAGCTTGTAGAATCGCATGATTGTCCGTCCGTGCGTCCGTAAACAGTTTGGCACAAATCTTAACGACGTACGGTCACGATATTCGGGACGTGGGGGGGGGAATCGTGAAAAGGACTCGGAAGGATCAATTTGAGGGTCAAGGGTCAAAGGTCAATATGTGTAAACGGAGAGGGAATATTTTTGTATAGGAGGAAATATGTAATTGCGGCACAAATCTGAAGGGCTCAACCTATGCTCTTAATATTCGGTGTATACTAGTGTGATGGGCAGGAAACCCATCACCAGTGCGAAATTGGAGGTCACAGGTCAAAGGGCAGTGGGGGAAAGGTCGGATATCAGACATTTTCTGAGGACATGGCCTAATGGACAGAGTAAAAAACTTTTTTGTTTCAGCGCTGACGCTACCATTTTTATCACTTTATTGAAAGGACCATGAAATGTGCTTTCCACTGACCTGCGAAGAGTAAGTGTCTGATAACCTTTTGACCTTCAAGATGAGGATTAAACATGGATTCCTGAAAGTTCTGCCTCAATGACGTCACAGTGTTGTCATATTCATGGCACATCCATAATCTAGAAACCTAATAAGCCTGGATAACCGAACGCATACAGCACAGGCGTCATGGCTCAAAGGTCATTGGATCGAATCCCATCAGATTTTTTATTGTTTACCTGTTTTCTGTATTTTTCTATCTTTATCCATTTAACTATTTTTTTCCAATTAACGCAAATATTTACATGATTTATTTACAACAATTTAATAACAACAATCAATTTTTTTTTTAATAGGGTTATGGTTAGGGTCACAATGAACCATAAAACAGGAGTTTCAGGCACGCGATTTGTATCAACCAATGGGATTTGGGAGGTATGCAGAATGCAGAAGGTTGCTGAAATGATGTGTACGCAACTGCATATCTGCGCCTAACAAAGGTGTCACTACGCACGACTTAAATGTTACGTTTATAACCGTAGCAACAGAACTCAGATGAGCCCAGATGCTCTGCGGCTCTTGTTTTTTATTGAGACGTTCCAAGTGCCTGTGGTCCATACCCTTCCTTTGCGCAGTGATGCATTATCTATTACGTAAATTGTGGCCGGCCGCACACACGATGTCGCTGTGATAACTGACGCGCGAATATTGATTGAGCATTTCTCTCTGTCGTTGCAGGTCCTATCGGCGCTTGAGATACTGCAGCCACCACCCATAGACTTCTTTACGGAAATGTATCCTCTAGCGTTCGTTTATGCGTCTGCTGAAGCGGTGACCGTCTAGCGATGTGTTGCCGACCTTCGGTTCAACTTTGTAAAAAAAATTTACAATTTTGGTGCATTTACGGCTCTATATTTAGGTGAAGCTACTAATTCTTTTGTACGTTTGGCGATGGGTTGAGGCGGGAGGGGTTTCTGTTGAGTGTAGGCTACCTGTAACTGTGGGTTGTATCCTGGATCTATAGTGAGTCCCAGTTGGTGGGAGAATTTGTTGTATCATCTTTGGAACGCTAGCAGGAACCCCTGCTATTGTGAAATCGTCGGCGCTGGTTAGTGACATGCAAGTGCAGTGTGCTTAGACCCGGGACTCTGAATCATCCCTGAAAGTGGCTCTACGCGCATTCAAGCGTTCCAGCTACGCGTTCGTGACTAACACAGCCGCTGCCCTGAGCGCAGCCCACGCGAGAGAGGGCATGCCTGCATCCATTCACTTTTTACTCCTCCGCTGCGAGACCCTAGTGTAATTATATTTAGTCGCAGATGTGCAATGCCTGGTACTTAGACCTTTATTGCAGAGAGTGTAGAGGGAAGGGAGATAAGTAGCTGAAGAAAGGGGATCGGTCGTAGAGAGATGTGTGGTTGCTGAAAGGCGGGGGTTGGTAGTAAAGGGAAGAGTAGGGGAGGTGGGGATTTAGCCTAGGCTATGCGACGGGAGTCTAGCAAGGTTTGGTGTGCGCAGTTCGGAGGTCGTGTCACACAACCGTGACCTGTTCTGTATCCTTGACCTCTAGCCTCAGCTATGTGATCTGTGAGCTTATGCAGAGTGACCTTCACAAGATCATCGTCTCGCCGCAGCCACTGACTTCCGACCATGTAAAGGTCTTTCTCTACCAAATACTCAGGGGTATGTGCTCACGTAGTCATTGAATTAGTGGAGTAATTGGTACCTAGTCGCTGACAGCTGTGTCACGATAGTGGTTGAATGTGTGCATGCTTTGTTGCAATTCATTGTCGCAGCTGGGATGAAGAGGACGAATCGATTAAATTAAATGTTGGGTCTCTTGCGGTGCTTATGCACTGGCTATTTCAACATTTAAAGTGCTTACGCGTGACAATTTCAGTTTACACTAGGTCTCTATGTGTGTTAGCTGCATTTTGTTGATTCTTTTCTGCATATATGCGCGGTGTAAGTGTGCAAGTAGATTCACGTGTGTTACCACAGTAACTATATACACATCTAATTTGAGGTATACATGGCTAACAGTGCGTGTCATTCGCATTGACAGCTCTCAAGTATCTACATTCGGCGAGGATTCTGCACAGAGACATAAAACCTGGAAATCTCCTAGTCAACAGCAATTGTGTGCTCAAGGTAAGAGACTCTACCAGAGATATGCCAACCACTACAATTTGTCTGTATTTTATACGAATTTCTATTCCTTTTGCACCACTACGACCAGTTTGAATCAAACTACGAATTTTACTGTGATCGAATTTCTTCTTTTTTTGTCAATTATTGTCATTTTTGACCCTCAGAATGCAGGAAATTGCATCTCAGAATCAAACAATTTTTCGGGTGCATGCCTGACCCCCCCCCCTAGCAAACTCGGGTCAGTACGTGACCCTCAAACTACTAATTTGATGGCCAGAAACTACAGATTGCTTCAAATATGTGTTGGCATCTCTGCTCTATGCGAGCAGAAATGTATATGTACACAGATAAAGCCACTGATGAACATGGGTAGCAAACATGCATGGACCCTACACCCAGTTTTCCCATCGTTTTTCCATACCAGGGTTTCTTATGTATAAGAGGCACCGTGGCGCACCGCCATTGTCAAATTTAACATTACCGTTGTGAAAATGTTGCTGTATTTACCGGCCGTTGTCAACCCAAAAATAAATAGATCTGATCACCACGTGCTTCTGGTATATTTAGATTGCCATGTGCGTTTATTGAGTTATGTGATGCGGGGTTCTATACTTTTCATTTATTTGATTGGTTGGAGTGCCATCCATTTTTTCCACCAAACTGGCCATTACCTCCTTTGTCTAATTTTCCCTCAGAATAAAACCCTGAATACGTCATATTATTATTTATTACACGAGCATAACTTTTTAATCAGTGAAGTTGTCATGTGTCATAGATGAAAAATAGGTTCGAAGGCAGAAATAGATTTTTCAGTGTGGCTCAGTCGCTGGGTTTAGGGTGGGACATATGTAAGGGGGGAAGTGTTAACACCTGTGCCATATACCAAATACACGAGTGAGCGCTGTGTGTGCCTTAGAAATGTGCAAGAAATCTCATCTCTTTAATGTTTATGATTTTATTAATTGATATTTATTGTGAGTGCTGTAATCGATCACTAGGTACTATTAGGAATTCAAAAATATATATCATTAGTTTAATTTGATTTCGATTTAATTTTTGAAAGTTTATGACTGCATGATGCAGCACTGGACTCCATACGAAATATGCAAAAAATACATCACTTTAATTCTATTTCAAAGTCGTATGCAGAAGAGTAATTAAATTAAATTAAATAAATTGATTTTACGATTAATTAATCGTAAAATAATATGACGACGAGTGATGATTGGATTGCCGGCGCTTTTATCGCCCTGCAGGTCTGTGATTTTGGGCTGGCGCGCGTCGAGGAGCCGGACGAGTCACGGCACATGACGCAGGAGGTCGTCACGCAGTATTACCGTGCGCCCGAGATCCTCATGGGCGCCAAGCACTACGACTACAGCGTCGACGTCTGGTCCGTAGGATGCATCTTCGCCGAGCTGCTCGGACGCCGCATCCTGTTCCAGGCGCAGAGCCCCATCCAGCAGGTGAGATTAGTGATGTCACGATCATCGATTATACTCGATCATCGGCTGAACAGTGGTTGGAACCAAGCGCTTGGTTATCAAAATCCCTAATCGATTTTATTCAAAAAAAAATAATCGAAATAAATGTAAAACTTGAACAAGAAAACTTGGAAAAGTGATAAGAATCAGAGATATCATCGCTACTATACAAGTTATCCTTTATTAACATACATGTATTATACACACAGTAGTAAACAGGGCTAAACAAGCACATACATGCACACACGTACATGCACACGACGTTACGCACACGCAGCGCATTCAACACCCGAGTAACGATTGTAACCGATCATCGGTTACTTGGTCAACCGATGATCGATTACGAATAATTACAACGCATTGACAACACTAGGTGAGATGCCCTGGGAGAGTCCTTTGCAGGAAAAAATTACTTCATAGCTACTAGCGAGCCACACCGCATCACCGAGTGAGCAACAGTGCGCAAGAGTCGCTAGTAGCTGCTTTTGTTTTATAAGTTCGGGCGTTTATACATTCGGTTTGCTGCAACAGAATGGATAATCGTGTCGTACGTTTTAGTCTGTATCTCCGGATTGCGGGTGTATACGAGGAAACGATTTCGCACGATGCTAGGCGAATGTACTGTGTACGATTGAGCTCAGTTGGTTGAGTTACGCGTAGTAAATCGTAGGTATTCTAAGGCTAGTAAATGACGAATTTCCCTTGTTTATTGAAGTCACACTCCTTCCCTATTATCTACTCTCTCTTTCTCTTTTTCTCTCTTTCTCTCTTTCTCTCTCTCTCCCTTCTATTAATTACTCTCATTCCTCTCTGTCTCCAACCTTTTCTTTATCTTTCTCATTGCTAACAGTCTCAGCTGCCTGGGAGCTTGAGTGCATCGCATAAAACCCGCAGGCACTACCTCACTGATCATTCACTCTGATATCTGCAGAAGTTTTCCTGCATTTTTATCAGTCGCTTTTCTGGCTTCGGTACACGAACACAGCTCTCTCTCTCTCTCTCTCTCTCTCTGGTTTTCCACTATGTATCTTGGCGTGTATAATTAATTCCCTCATATTAAGATTCACACAAAGACTTTTGTGGTATCGCAACCCAGTGTCAGACGCTGTGTGTAGTAACTAGTAGTAGCGAAAACACCAGTGTTGCACAGACGTTGACAACGATCGATGCCGCTACAGGCATAACAAAAGTATTACGTTTGGCGAATGGCAAGCTATAGCTGGTTTCGCGCATTCCTTTGTTTGCTAGTTGCTTCATCGAGCGCTGTTCCATCCCGCGGTGAGTTTTGGCAGCTAGCGGCAGTCGCGTTGCAGCAACCGTCTCAGCGTACGTAGCAGCGGCAGGCGCTAAACTTTAACCGGGTCAGAAAAGCGGGCCGCGATACGAGCATGTAGGTAACCCACACACCTTGGGCGCTGCCCGAGCTACGTACTGTGCACTACTCGCTAATCCTGCCGAATACAGACTAACGTGTTCTGATAACCCAAGGCACATCCACATATATCTGCACACCTTGCGCACATCTCTATGTATTTACTAACGGCCCGTTCCAGTGGCGTATCCAGCATAGGGCGGAGCCGGCGTACGCCCCCCTCCCCGTTTGCAGGCCCAGAAAAAAAAAATGAAAAGTGTTTTGAATCTTAAATTGTAGGGTTGAGTCTAGGGTTGAGATAGTGTCATCAGACATCAGAATATGGTCCACAGTATGCCTCAGATTGCAGGAAAATGGCTTAAATATTTCAAAATTTCCTGGAGGAGCATGACCCCAGACCCCCCTATCGATGGCGTGCCCGCGGCACGCGGGGTTCCCTGCGGCAGCCCAGGTAGATTTCGGCCCCCCCCTTGTTCATCCATTTCTGGATACGCCACTGCGTTCTGTTTCGAATAGAAGTTGCTTTGGCATATAGAGTCAAAGGCAGAGTTAGACTATAGCTGTGGTAATGGGTTGCAAGAATATACTTGTAATCAGTAACGTGTGCGTGACATCATCTACTCTGGGTGATACTCCATTAGGAGTGTTCCCAACTTTAATGTCATTAATGGTCATATAATAACATATATATATATATATATATATATGGTCATGGTCATATATTAGTTTGTGGTTTAATGTCATTTAGGTTAGGGTTAGGGTTAGGATTATCAATCATTAATCATTAATCATTAATCATTATTAGTGCATGACGTGATAAATCGCTGCAATCTCATTGGATAACGCAGCAGGTACTCAGGGGTGTATCCAGGATTTTTTCTGGGTGGGTCGTGATCATAATTTTTTGGACCTTTTCACAATGAAATAGCAGCAAGATGTGATTACAATGTCAATACACTCAGGGGCGTGTACAGGATTTGTACCCGGGGGGGGGGGTCTAACCGTAACCCAAACTTAGCAGCACGCGAAGGGGGAATCTGAAAATAAAAATTTGAAATTAGACTTCCTTAGATGCGTTTTCTGCGCGAGCAGGGGGGTCCGGACTCCCTGGACCCCCCTGTACACGCCCCTGACAATTTAATTAAAACAAAAAAAATTTGTTTCACAAATTTTGTTATCAGTTTAAAAAAAAGAAGTTTTCTGACTCAGTTGAAAACAGAGTTTTTGGAACTTTTGGTCTTTATCTTGTCTTGTCTTGATCTTGTCTTGTCTTGTCTTTGTCTTTGTCAGTCTTTGTCTCTCTTTTATGAAACAAAATTT